AATGTTAAAATTGCTGCAGCTGTAAAGAGCGAGATGAAGTGTGCGCTCGTTTTCCCGCCGGAGAATGAGAAACAAATACCCCCGAAAACGAAAGAGCAGAGCCTGGCGTCTGGCCTTTTTTCTAATCCTCCGGAAAGCGCGTCAGCACCGGTGCACGCGTCATTTAAACTCTTCTCGCACGGAAAAAAATGTCAGAATATCATAAGGCTTAGGTTTTAATGAAATTAAGTTGGAGGGAGAGATGGGGAATTGGAGTTTAAAGGCTCTAGGCTGCGTCTGGATGGAGGCACGGTCTGTTCTCATTTTGTGCTGAATAAAGAGATAAGCAGTTTTTTGGAGGAACACTCTTGGGAGGTCTGTGTAATACACATGCATCTTCACGGCTCAGCTCTCTGCCTCAGGTGTGATTACAGACTCTGATAGCGAGAGACCTGTAGATTAATACTGTACACCAGATGGATTTAGCCACACGATAACAGCCAGGGGAGTGAGACGAGAGAGAATAGTCGTCCTGCCGTTCTGGAGATTGCGTTAGTGCCTAAGAACGACGCCAGGCGGCAGATCCGCTGATAGCGTTATTAAAAAGCACCTGATAGATGATGGGTCCGCAATCTCGTCTGTTCTTACAGTTTTTATGTTTTGTTTCTCAAAATACTCCCCAGAGGCCGTTTTATGTGAAGTGGACTTCCAAAAATGCAGGATTATTGTAGTTTTGAATTTTTAATATAGATTTTTATTTCTTTTATTGTCATTGTTAGTTTCGGTTTATTTAGTTTTTATTAAATTTAATGTTGTACTTTCTAGGCTGCCAAAGTCAATGTGCTAATTTGTATTATTAATTAAATTTCTTTGCAAAATTTAGTGTTATTGCTGTCTAGTGACATTTTTATTTGTAATGCAGGTTGGTTGTAAAATTTTATATTATATCATGCATCAAAAACTAAAACTAGATAATTACATTATAGTTAATTATATTCTGATTTACTTTTGTTACTATTGCATGAAAATATATTTTTGATTAGTCTTTTTTTTTTTCAACTTATGTTCTGAGTCATTCAGTTTCCATTTTAGTTTTTGTTGCTGATAATTTGAAAAAGCAATTCATCTGCAAGGTTTGTAGTTTACTGGTCTAATTGTTGGTTATTTAAAGTTGCTCAATACATTTATTAGAGTATTTACAGTCACCGTTGTGCATGTTCTGCATTTTACAGTGGCTTTGAATGCAAATACGAATTCAATTTGTATTCAGTCAGAAATACAGCAATATTTGACATATAGTAAGAGTTTTGAGTTGTAAACTGTTTTAATGTGTGAAGCAGCTCAGATCATTGGTTTTTGAGAGAATTTGATGAGAAATGTTTGCATTCATATGTGACCCTGGAGCACAAAACCAGTCGTAAGTCGCTGGGGAATATTTTGTAGCAATAGCCAAAAATACATTGTAAGGGTCAAAATTATTGATTTTTCTTTTATGCCAAAAATCATTAGGATATTAAGTAAAGATCATGTTCCATAAAGATATTTTGTAAATTTCCTACTGTAAATATATTAAAACTTAATTCCTGATTAGTAATATGCATTGATTTCTCAATATTTAGATTTTTTTGCACCCTCAGATTCCAGATTTTCAAATAGTTGTATCTCGGCCAAATATTGTCCTATCATAACAAACCATACATCAATGGGAAGCTTTTTTATTCAGGCTTCAGATGAAAAATTGACCCTTATGACTGGTTTTATGGTCCAGGGTCACATATGAAGATGTCTGCACATTACTGAGATGTGTTGTGAAACTGGAAACTCCGTTTTGTCTCATTGCTTTCTAGGAGAAACAATCGAGACACTTCTGATTCATTTGTGATTTTTCTTTCACAATAAGCTGTTCTGTCTCTGGGTGTTTTGATATCTGACTGAGGCACTAGGGCCCACTGGCCCCCTGCCAGCGTTTCAGTCTCAGTGCTGGTTTGTGTGTCTGAAATGGAGTCATTGTGTGGACTCACATACTGGAGGAAAAACAGCTTACTCACTGCACTGTGTGTTTGGAAAAGCTTTTTAGCAAATTTTGGCGCACTATACTGCACTGTTCCTCTTCCTCAATAAGACCCAATCAGTTTATAAGACCCAGTAATGCAGAAACAGCATCATATTTCTGGTGATTTGGATGCCTGAAACCTCATTGTGCAATGATGTAGTCTAATGTTTTGTGCTCATGTTTTTAATCTGAGGGCACCTGATTGAACATTGTCACCTGTATTTTATTGACATATCTGAAGGGTAAAGTTATAGTTTAGAGACTGAGTAGCCTGAGACATTTCATCCCCATGTCCCCTTTAATTAGTCTTTTAAAACCTTTTTTCAGTAAAAATATCTAAAAGTCCTTAAAACCAGATAAATTCACTTTATATGATATGAAGACATGTTTTCATAGATTGTCTGTTTGATATGAGTATATTTTTTCTTACTGCACTGGCAGGTTTTTGCACTTAACTTGTTTATATTTAAAACATGTCCTAAAAATCCCAGTGTCGTAAGACAAAATACACTCGTATTGAAGAGACAATCTATAAAAACAAGTCTTAATATTTTATGCAGTGCTGCTTCTCAAATAAATTGATCTTGTTTTAAGAATTTTTAGATGTTTTAGCTGGAAAATAAGACAAACTACTCTGTCCGGTCTATTGCCATGTGGTGAAGTCTTTCTAACATGCAGTGGGAGAATAATATTGCCTATTTCACCTAGTTTTCCTGGTTTTTTGTGCTTGTATCAGAAGCTGAGACTACAGGCTGAACGACATCTACAAGTCTAACTTTTGACTGAGACGAGCTATTTTACCATCAAATATTTACATGTGTCTTTAAGAGACCAGGCCACTACATTTCCCAGACACCGTACACCATTAAAAAAAAAGTGTCCATTTGAGTGCCAGTTTTCCATCACCTCCCACGTTTCTGTCTGTCAGAGTTTCAACTCTATCAGCACGTTCGCTCCTCGGCCTCCTCTCCTTGCATTTTACAGTCTCGTTACCTGTTTAAAAGACACGGGAGAGGGAAATATGCTAAAACAGAGGAGCCGAGCACTCCAGGAAAAATAAAATCCAATTTAAATGTAATGGTGAAATGTAATGGTGTTTAATATTTATTGAAAAACGTACAGAAAATGTAAGGCGGTGCTTTTCGGGGCTGGCGGGATTTGCATAAATTGTTCTCTGAATGTTTTCGTCCCTTAACGCACATGGAGTAGCGCTGTCTCTTCGCAAAGCTGCCGCTGCATATTTTGGTGCAGGTGAGAGAGTGTCAGAATACCTTCAGCCCCTCCAAAATGTGTGTATGTGGTCTGTGCGTGGTCGTCTTTGGGAGAGTCTATATGCTCTGGCGGTTTCATTAAACAAGTGTCATAGCTGGACACTGAAGCATGGGAGTGCAGCTTTGCCCTTTAAATATTTAATTCTGTCGTGTTTATGGGGAGAGAGGGATGTGATTTACACGCTCCTGACAGGCTGAATTGTTGTGGAGACCTCATCAAGCGCACGGGAGTCTCTCTTTCTCTCTCAATGTCATTCTATCTGTCTCTCTCTCTTCATTCACTATGTTCATTCATGCCACAGAAACTCTGAGTGGCTCAGTGAGTTCACATGCATGGCTAGCAATAAACCCTATGTTGCAGTTGTGGCAAATGGTGGAGAATAGTTCATTGAAAGATATTTTTATAGACTGCGCTATATTTTTTGTAGCTCAGTGTTTTTGTGTAGCAAAGGGTTTTTGCACCAACAGGTGTAGTGTGATTCTCACTATTTTTGTTACTTTGCATTGTGTATAAGACCTTATAAGAAGAGTCTTATGTAAATGTGTTCTAGAAATGCTTTAGAACATCTCTCTCCATTGTTCAAGTAACTATGGAGAGTCTGATTCATTTTATTGATTCATTTCATTTGAATCAGTTTGTTTGATTCTTTTTAATAAAAGTCAGTAATGTTTTCAGAAGTCCCTGAGCCACATTTTTAAGTATTCAGTAATAATAAAAAAATATTTTTTTAATTGAATTTCTGCGTCATTCATTCCAAACAGAATTTAAAACTAAATGTAAAAAAGCTTCCACAAACTAATCTGATTCGTTATAGCAAATTGTTCAATTTGAACTGTTCATGTCAATGAACCAGCTCCAAAAAAATGATTCACTGATTAATTTGAATCATCAAATGAATCAAGTGTTCCCGGACGTCCCTGCACAGCATTTATTTTGTCTTTTTGTAGCAATTTACTGTACTTTAATTTTGTCTTTTGTAGCAAAAGTTACTTTTATTAATTTTTTTTCTTTTGTATTCATTTCTATCAGTTTTTAGTTTTATTTTATTTGTATACATCGTTTTCTTTTTCCTATTTTTTATTAATTTATATCACTGTTTTTAGATTTATTATTTATGTCCTTTATACATTTTGTATTTGTTTTTATCACTGTTTTAGATATATTATTTAGGTTTTTAATACAGTTTTTTATCAATTGTTTTTTTTTTTGCATTCATGTCTATCAATTATTGTGTTTTTAGTTTTATTATTAAGGTTTGTTTTATAAAGATTATTGCTGTATTCATTTCTATCATTTAGAGTGTTTCTTAGTCTCATTTATTTTTTTAAACAGCTTTTAATAAATGTTTTTGTTTTCATTTCTATCAGTGTTTTTAGTTCAATTTAGTTTTTTGTAATACAGCTTTTAATCAATATTTTTTTAATTCATTTCTGTCATTTAGGATGTTTAGTTTTATTATTTTGGTTTGTTCTTGGCTGTAGTTATAACTTCTTTACATTATCAGTAGCTTGTGTTCACAAACTGCAGTTTCAAAGTTAAGCTTTTAGAGTTAAGTCAAAGTTAAGCTTTCTTTCATCAAATTCTCTGGCATTAACACATGAACCCTGCCCTTAACCTGACGACAGGGATGTTAAACCCTGTTTACTAACACAGTCTATGAGTGCATGAGAGGACTGACCTGCTCCTGTCTCTGCAGGCTCTGTGTATGGAGGTGCGGGGCAGACGGAAGGGCATTTCCTCCGTGCTGAGGCTCTGTCAGAGGCTGCTGGACGGGCCTGAACAGCAGAGCTCAGAGGCAGAGCGCCAGTCGCTGCAGCTGCTGCAGGTCAACCTGGAGAGACGTTGGGAGGCCATCGTCATGCAGGTCCTTCAGTGGCAGACCAGACTGAAACGCTCACTGGGCAGAGACCAGGTCACATATGCTTTACACTACAGTTACAAGTAAACAAGATAACATACGTTGTGAATATAAACAGGGTGGTGCATGCACAGGTAGTGCCGTCTCGATATCCACACTATGGGCGGTTTAATTGTGTTTGTGGTGGAGTTTCTAGAATGCATACTGTGACTAGAATGCATACTGTGTATTGTATATGGTTTTTTAAAAAGTAGTTGTGTGCTCTGTTTGCATTATTTATCACCTAATTCACTAAAGGAATTATGCAAATCGGTGCAAACAAGCTCAAAAAATACTATTTGCATGATGCAATTTCCCGTCTTGCAAATACACACAAACACCTCCTTTAATTAAACAAAATTGTTTACCTCCTATTTTCCATAATGCAAAAAAATGTGCAGTCTATAAGTAAATTGTGTAATTTAAATATGTATGGTACAGTGCTATACCAGTCCAGATAGTGTAAAGTGGCATAACTGTTTAGTGAATTCACCTCAGTATGTGAACAGTATGCAGTGATAAACAGTAGTATTAGGGTGATTATGTGTCTGATGTCTGGGTTTTGAATGTTTTTTTTATCGTTTTCATGCTTGCTAAATGTAATGACTGAAAAATAGTATTACCGATAGTGTGGAGGGATTGTACATAATCAACCAATTATGGGATCCACAGAGAATGGTCAAAGCCATGCAATTACACATGCTGTATGTATGTATGTATGAGAGCATGTCAATAGAAAAACAAACCCAGACATTTTAGGCAATTTAGAAAAAACTGGACGTATATTCACCCTAAATAGTATGCTGTGTTATTGACACATAGACCTTACTATCTTAGATGTTTAACCCTCTACCGCATGGTGTAGCCATATGGCAACTTTTTTACAGCACTTCAAGTTAAGCTGTTCTTAGAAAAGAAAAAGATTCAAATATTTTTTTCTATAGGTCTATCATAATGCGTGCGGTAGAGGGTTAATTCACCAAGTGGGCATCCATCATGTCCTTAATGCAGTTATTTTGCAGTATTTTGTAGTATTTTGCAGTATTTTTGCAGTATTTTGTAAATGTCTTAATCTTTGACAATACATTTAAATACTGTATCAGTAAGGAGACTCCTTCCTAATGCAATTATAATTCTGAAAATCAACGTTCTATTTTATTGAACCCATTGAATTGGCTTTTTGAAGATCTCCTTACATGTTGCTGTGCTCAAAGGAAGCTGTCCAGAACCATTTGTTAAGCAGAAATACACTAGTTCCAATAATATAGTGCAGCGCCGCTGTAACAGTGCAATAAGAATGATGTATAAGGCAGGGAAAGTGGCCACATATTATTCTTGAATACACATAGTAAGAGGACAGTGGCTAGATGCGCTCCCCAGATACTCACTGTACTGTGAACTCAATCGATTACAGGTGCTGCCAGAAATAACTGACTGTTCTTAATGTATATTGAGTAACCAATAGCAATGAAATAGCTTGAACCTGTGTCCCCATCCTGCACTGAAAGGGAGGAAGTAGTCTCTTAAAGGACATAACATGTGCACATACCGTGTTCACTGCCGTATAAAAAGACTTCCCATCCTGAAAACGGAACCCGTAACTAGTCTCTTATTGTATGTGTGGGACCATTACAGTGCGTGTTAAACGGGGGAGTGGGCCGAGGGCTAGACTTCGCCTTTTGTCATGCAGATGTTGTGCATTCCTGCATGGCAGCAGCAGGGCTCTGGGGAGGCTGCGTGCTTCACGCAGAAAAGCCCAGCAACCTGTTTGTGAGCGTCCACTCACTTACACGGGGAAGACAAATTACTCGCCCCTCGCTCAGCTTGACCTTGCGGGGCTGAAGTGCAATTTCACTTTTTGCGGGCGCAGAAGAAAGGAAAAGAAAAATAATAGGGAGAGTTTGTTTTTGTGAATACAGTACACTTTGTGAGATGATGAAATAGCTGACTGTTGAGTCCTTGCTCACAACAAGTCTGGTGTCTGAAAAAAAATCCAATCGTTACTCTTTCATTTTTAGGAGGATTTTTTTAAAGAATATCATGAATTCTGTTTGAAGGTCAACGAAAGACATAATGATTTTTAAGTTAACTTTCACCTGCTCTTAAGGGAGTGGTAAACCAGTGAAAGAGTGACTGTTAAAAGGAAAAAAGGTTTCAGAAGAGCTTTAATTGACACCGTCAAGTTATTACATGATTTCACTCTCAAGCTGAATAGTGTAGCAGACACAATGCCTGCTATTCAGTCAAAAATCTCAGGCCATACTAGACAGTCTTGTTTAACATTCTACGAAATGGCAAAATGACTTTTGTAATGGCATAGCTAAAGGTTATAATTAGTCTATCTGATTAAAACGTTATGTGCTGCAGTCGGGGTACAAATGTTAGCTGAGGTAGCTAACTGAAATTATTTTGATTTGATTAGACTGATTGATTGTTCTCACAGTTGAGGGTTTTTATCATGCACTAGCGATCCAAGCCTGTGAATTAGTATTTTCCTCATCAGCAGAAAGAGAATAAACAGAAATCTAATCAAAATTCATTTTATGGGATATATGACATACAAAGCAAGTGTTAGATTTGCCAGGTTATTAGATTAATGAGATAAAGAGGATCTTATAAATAGACTCTTCCTGCTTGAACAAGAAGCAAAGCAATTTGTGTAATTATGCCCTGTGCTGAATGCCCACATCTAAGCAAAATGTATTTGTCATAGATTAACTTTGCATTTGATCTTATTAAAAGTCCAACCAAGTATTTCTTTGCCCCTGATGTCTTTTTTTCTCTCCCTTTTTCAGGTCTCTGAGAACCTCATTGAGCCTTCTCTCATGGAGCTCCATGGCCAGACGGAAGACTCTTGGGAGTGGGACGAAATGGACATGACTATCTGCGATCTGGATACACAGGACTGTGAAGCTGAGCAAAAGCCTGGATCTAAAGCACACCTTAATTCCCCAAAGGAGACTTCAAGTCTCACCGAGTCATGCCCAAATGACACACGGTGTGGAGCAGCCTTGAGCTCTGCAGAACTGAATCCAGAATCTTCTCGTGTTTATCAGGTGTACAGTCTGCATAATGTTGAACTCTACCAACAACCCCAATATAATCACAAATCATCATCAACCAAATCCCAACAGTCACTTTTGAAGCGCCAGAGCATGGATTCCTCCTTCTCCTCAGCCGAATCCTTACCTGACATCCTGGGAGACCTGTTGAAGGGGAAGCAGGGGCTGCTATCGGATTCAGCCAGGAGATCGGAGAGCGAAAGTGGGATAGTTAGTGAAGGGGACACAGGTAACTCTGAGGTTTGCCTGCTGTTCCAGAGCGATGATCCAAAAGTTTGTGTTACTCTCACCTGTCCTAACAGAGAAGATGGAGACAGAGTGTCAGATGAAGACATAGAAAGAGTTTTGGAGCGTGCCAACAAGTGTGCAGAATATGGTGGCAGTCTTACCATTGGGCAGAGAGACCAGCAATGGCATATCACGAGAAAGAAGAGAGAAGATGGTGGAGAAAGCAGGAAGAAACACCGCAAGGAGCCAATGAAGATTCATGCCAACGGCTTTGGGCTAAGCCAAGAGGTTAACGACAAATATCTCAACATGAGCGGAGATGAAGAGAGGGTGACTACACACCGAAAGCTCCAAAAGGAGTTCACACAGCTATCCCAGGGGTCTTCCCTTGACTCTCTTTTCACAGTAGGAGAGTTATTTCCATCGAGCAAAGAGGCACTGACTCGTAGCACTTCCCTGGAAAGTTGGCTCACTCCATGTAAGAGCGCAGAGGACGCGGGCAGTAAGGAAAGTCTGAGGGATGTTGAATCGACTGTGGAGCCCACAGGGGAACTCAGCAGAAGAACTCTGGAACTTCTAAAACGCCTTGAGAACATCCAAAGCCCTCTTGCAATGAAGATGACGCGTAGCGTCTCTGACGTAACACTCCATAGCAGCTCGCTGTGGCGTGGGTCACGCTCGGCTGGAGCTCCCTCCTCCATTAACGAGAGCTCGGCAGCCTCCCTGACGGAGCTGAGCAGCACCGAGGACTCGTCCGTGGCATCCGAGGACCTAGCTGTGCAAATGAACCGCTGTGTGGCTGCAGAGTCCAACGCATCCTTCCGTAAACATTGCCGCAGCCAGCAACAAACCGACGAGACCGATGCAAGCATTAGTATGGTCGTCAACGTTTCCTGCACTTCAGCCTGTACTGACGACGAGGATGACAGCGATCTTCTCTCCAGCTCCACTCTGACGCTCACCGAAGAAGAGCTCGGTATTAAAGACGACGACTCCAGTGTAACCTCAGAGGAGGAGTACATTGAAGGTTCCCTCGCTCTTGGGCTGGATTATATAAAGGGTGAGTTTCAAAGCTGGATGAAGCCTAGATCTCAGAGTAAAGAGAAAAATGAAGCAGATCTAGTGGATGAGCTGCAGTGTGGCACCATGTCTAAAGACATCCTGTCACCGGTTAATACCGCCAACGATCATCACTTTCTCAGCCGGTCCGCGTTGAAACTCTTGGAAGCCAACACTAATGCTAAAAACGAGAGCCTCGGGCAATGGGAGGTGGATGGCAACCGAAGGGACGCCACCAGGAGCTATATCAACCACTTCGTGGATGACATGGAGAACGGGAATGTCGAGAGCACTCACATCAAAGGCAAGGATGAAGACGACGAGCTGCTGAGGGAAGAGGGAAGTCTGCTAACCAAGAAAGGGGAATCGTTTAAAAACTGTTATGTGGCGGATGCTGTCAACGGTGTCAAAAGCGGTATGGTGACCGCCACCTCTCCATCCTCATGCGAACAGTTGAGCTTGAGCTCCTTGGAAGGGCAGTTGAAAGGCGAGCTGCCCTGTCACAATTCCCACCGTCCCTCACCCTCCATCTCTCCCATAGACGAGTGTTCAGGGTTATCTGCACACGCTCACAGCCGACAGAAGCAACTCGCCGCCTTTCTGAATGACGTCCACGAGAACCATCAAGAAAGCTCTTCAGAGAGCTGCAACCACCCTGCTTTCATCTCTGAAGAGGCCAAGAGTGACAGTGTCCATGACTTTGTGATGGAGATCATTGACATGACATCAGAGGCCCTGAAGACCAAAGAGGTGCAGGCAGAGCAGCCAACGGAGGTGTGTAGCCAGACGTCCGTGTCTCAGATCAGAGAGAAGGTCCTCGAGCACTCCCATCGGCTTATCCATTTGCGCAAGGGCGACTTCTACTCCTACCTGTCGCTGTCCTCGCACGACAGCGTCTGCGGAGAGGTCAACACCTGCGCGGAGGACAAGAGCAGCACCCCGATCCTTTCGAGTACGCCAGATATCCGTGACGAAGAGCCGCTCTTCGAGGCCTGCACCGAGGAAGTGTATTTGGGCCCTCCTCTTTGTTACAGCATGTCCATTAGCAAACGGCCCACGAGACACGGCGGCAAACTAATAGAGCCCCTCGGTTTCCCGAGTCCAGCACCTTCACCGGGCTGCGATGAATACCAAAAAGCACATGGTATTTCTCAAGGAAGTGCAGCTGGTAGCCAGCCAGAGTGCCATAATGAGGCGCCTTATCATAATCCTTTACCATGTGAAACCCCGATAGATACTGTTGAATGTTTTGCAGATACTAAAATGCTTGAATCCAATATTTCCCCTGTAATGACTAAGATAAGAGTCTCTTGCTCCACTACAAATCCTTTAAAAGAGGATGGCAGCCTTTATATTAATCCCAAAATTAACTGTCCGCTGATAAGGAAGACTGATAGCGATGAAAGGGCTCCTGCTTCACAGTTGATGAAACAGAAGAACGTCAGGAAAGGGCGCCGCTCTCTACAGGAAGCCAAGTCGACTCATAAGCAGGTGTGTTTCGACATTACACCATGCTCTATCTGCTTGTAATGAGAGCGGTGTGCGTTTCTGCTGAATTCATCTCGTTGACTAAATATTTAAGAGGGGATTTTTATTCATTCTCTCACCCCCTTCTCACCCCTCCCCGCCGCTTTTCCCCTGAAGTGCTAATGGAAGAAGGATTTGCAGGCGTAGATTTAAAATTTGAAGGTCTACAGAACAGAATAATCATAATCAGTCAGATTATATTATGATTCATAAGCAAGAATGCGGCGAGGATCATTACTTAATTTCATGACTGAATTAGCATGTATTTGTGTTCTTTTTAAGTAGTTTTCTATTTCGTATGCAAACTTCTGCCTGCTTGCTTCCAACTCTGTCTGCAAATCTTCGTTTGACCTTATATCAGGCGAATTAAGTTCCTACTTTCCAGCTAATCATTGAGACCGAAAACACTAAATTAATTTTACGTCATCAATTGAATTTCAGTGTTTGTACTCATATTGATTTAATTAAAATAGCTGGATGGTTTATATGAAAAAAGAAAGGGAAC